CTCTCTCTCTCTCTCTCTCTCTCTCTCTCTCTCTCTCTCTCTCTCTCTCTCTCTCTCTCTCTCTGTGTGTGTGTGTGTGTGTGTGTGTGTTCACTTGCCGACTGAATTGTCACAATTTCTTCCTGGGTGACATAAACTATTGATTTGCTGTGATTGAATGCCAGACACCAGATGGTGGTGAAAGTGTGTGTTAGACAGTGATATGGCCCCAGGGCCAAACCTTGGCCGTGCCACAATAACTGAATGGGCATCATAGGGAGGGGGAGGAGACAGTTCTGACAATGGAACTCCAAGGCACATCTGCATCAGCATATCGGCAACCAGCACCAATCTATAAGAGCCTAGGGTAAATACATGAAAGTGCAAAAAAAAACTCTTGTTCGTCTGCGGAATCTGACTGACCCTAACTCCTTACTCTCAAATACATCACAAGGACTGCCCAGTAACGAAACTCTTCCTTATGAAATAAGTAGATGCATTTTATGATTTTAGACACGTGCGCCGTTTTCAAACTTTTTGCGCCGTCCTTGCAAGTGACGGTGCTGATCTCATCGTCCCCGAATGGTTCCAGTTCGAGCAAGTCTACCAGAGGCTTTCAAAAGCTGGATGCCGTGATTGGGAGACCGTAATGACAGGTAGATAGTGCTTCTGCCTCTCCTGACATGAGACAGTGGCAGGGAAACTCAAAGGCCCTGTGAAGAACAATCAAAGGAAATGGACCTTCTAGAAACCACACTGCTCAATGAGCAAGACAAAGAACGGGAGAAGTAGCGAAGAGAACGAACACGGGACAGATAGCAAGTGGGAGAGAGATGTTGATACAGAGACAAAGACAGGCAGGTAAACAGGCGTAGAGAAGGGGGCGGGAGGGCACAGGATGAGGGAGAGAAAGGGAAAGACGGAGAGGGATAAAAGGTGGAAAGAGGGGGGGCAGAAGAAGAGAGAGAGGCAGGGGAAAAGATAAGTGTGGTTGTTGTTATGAAACATCAACGCTACCAAAAGGCGAGCAACGCACCTCATGCTTGTTGATGAACAATTCAAACCGCTCCGTCAAACCCGGAAGTGACCGGTGCCATTTCGCAAGCGGACTCATAATCTGAGGGTGGTCGCAAATGAATGTGGGGTTCACGCATTGCTCCTCCAGGAAGTGCCCCACCAGCTGTCCTTCCAAAAAACACGCCAACCAAGGGGGGGGAAACACTCTCAGGTTTTCCGCTTCTGAGCAAAATAAAAATCACACACATGACAACCACGCCGGTGCAACAACAACAATATTTACAGGCCAGCAATTCCATACCAGTACATCAAACTCCCCTGAAACGGGCCGTACATGTGGAGAATTTGAATGAGCCTCTCCAAAAAGTTAGGGGACTCGGGACAGCGCCCACCTAGGGGCGGACGGAATTCTTTCTTTTGTTCTGGGCTGGGCCTAATGGCGCTCCACAACATGGGACAATTTTTTTTTTCCCTACTGGCCCTCCGGACGCCTTGTCCCGCGCCTCCAAAACTTTAGGACAGGCTCAATAGGTTTCTCAACTTGGCTGGAGCCATGTAATGGGTTTTTTTATCGGTTTATGTGAAGGCGGAGCGTGGCACAGATGGAGGAGCACCCCCCTACAAGGGGGGCGGCATCTGGCAATCCCTGGGATGTGCACTGGCTGCCACCATAAAGCATGCCATTTCCAATTCCAGCCTCTACACTGATTTAACTCACAGAATAAACACACAAATCGTGGGCAGTGGAGTACCTCCCTCCGGTAAGCACTGTCTGCCACCATAATGGATGTCATTTCCGGCATTTACACTCGTTTAACTAAGAATCAAGCTATGGCGTTCACACTCATTTAACACAGAGTCAAGTGCAATAAACAGACAAATTGTCAAAAGTGGAAACCCACCTTTTCTTTCCTGTCCAAGTCAATACCCAAATTGATGGCAGCAGAATACCTCAGATAGGCACTGTCTGCCACCATAAAGCATACTACTCCCAATTCCGGCATTTACAATTTTACACTCGTTTAGCGCAGACTAGAGTTCAATAAACACACAACTTGAGTGTCGTGCTACATTACCAGAGTGGCTAGGGACCACGCGCCAAAAATCAATAAAAAGCAAATATACATATCATCACATATATATATATCGTCAAACAGAACTGCCCGGTAAACCGTAGGCAGAGAGGGAGAAGAGGACAACAAACGAGGGGCTGTGACAAACTATATATATATATG